AGATTAAAGCTACTTTAATTCCGGCTTTTACTATAACTAAAAATAATATATAAATTAATAGTATAACTTTATTTCCGAGTACTAAAGTCTAATTCTAACTAAGGTCTAACTTATACTATCTTAGTATAATATTTCTTATTTTATTTCTTTTACTTCTTTTTCTTTTATAATTAGCTTCTATTTCTATTACTCCTATATATTATACTAGTAATTATATTTTATAATTAACCTGTATTCAAGTTACTAGATATATTAGAAATTAATATAAGATACTAAGATTAATACTTATATATTCTTAATATTTTAGCCTTAGGCTTAAGGTATTATAATAGCCCTTTTCTCCTCTAACTTACTAAGCTAATAATCTGTTTTATAGATATTTCTTAGAACTTTATAAAAGTATTACCTTAATTATAAAGTTTTTATTCTCCCTATATTACTTATTATAAAATATATAAAAGAGAAACTATAATAAAACAAAAACCTATATAAAGTATACTAGAGTATAAAACGTAATTTAATAATAAAATAATAAATTAAAAGTATAAATAATAAAATATAAATAGTATATAATATATAAAAGCTTAATTAATTAAATACTTATAAAGGATTATTCTCTAAATTTATAAAAAAACCAGTTTTCTTATATGATTTCTGTAAGTTATATATAAAAGACTATAGCCTTTACTATATAACCTAAATTTTAAAACCGCCAAAATAATACGATTTTCGATAAGTATAGCCTGCTATACTATAATATACTTTTCTTTTATTTTCCTTTATTATTTTTCTTTTCTTTTCTTCTATTTCTTTTCTTTTACTATTCTATTAGCTTATTATTATATTTTTATTAAGTAAATAAATTCAAATTATTCTCAATTCTTATAATAATAAAAATAAGCTTCTTTTTCTTTTATAAAGTATTTCCTTAATAATTAATCTTATTCTGGATTTTCTGTCTTAAACTACTAAATAAGTTATCTTACTTTTATAATAAACCTATATATTCTAAATTATCTAATAGGCTATTTAAGTAAGATATAAAGCTTTAAATATTCTAGCCTAGCTATTATTTAGTATTCTTAAACTTAGTAAAAGTATTATTATTATAGTTCTTTAGATCCAAAATAGAATTCTTTATAAACTTAATAAAGGTTTCCTAATTTATAATATTAATACCTACTAATTACTTCCTATATTTCTAGATATTTCTAGCTATATTCTTAAAACAGGAAATATAATATATAACCTTTACTATATTAGTAGCCCAGATAATTCTACCGTTTTTATATTACTTTAACTTTATTTAATAAAAGAAGTTCTGGGCTTCTTTAATATTTTTTCTCTAGTAAATAAGTAGTTTTCGGGTTTTTAAAGCTTTTTAAACTAAGAATACTACCAGAAGTATAACGAATTCTATATTAGATATTCGAATATCTTTAAAATAATAAATCTGAACTTCTAGCTCCTTTAGATCTTCTCTTTATTATATCTCTATTTCTAACTTAATAATATAATAATAAGCCGCTACTAATTTCTTTATTATTATTATTCTACTAGCTAGTTCTAGAAATATTTAAGTTTTACTTCTTTCTCCTAATTAGGTAATATAAAGAGTACTTAACTAGATACTTCTCTAAATATCCGGTTAGGTTACTCTAGTAATAATAAAGGCACTTCTTTTAGTTAATACTTTAGCTATTAATATTTTGTCTATTAATAGCTTAATTATCTTATAATAAACTACTTTCCAAAGATTAAATTAATTAGAATATAAGGTATTTAATAGCAGAATAATATATAAGTAATTAAGGTAAATAAGCTATAAAGTAATACTTGTAAGTATAACTAATTTCAAGAATTAATTCTAATAAAAGACTAATTAATATCTCTTTCTAAAGCTAGAAGTATCTCCTTATATATTTCCTAGTACTTAGCCAAGCTTATAAAGTACTTTATTTAACTAGAAAATATAATTCTATATAATCTATATAATTCTAATTACCTATATAATTCCAATTATAAGCTTTACTTAAAATAGGAAACTAGATCTATAATATCTAATACTTATTTATATACTATTACATATACCTATTATATTATATAATATATATTATATCCTTATATAATAAAATAGCTAATAAGGCTTCTAATCTTATTATTACTAGTATATTAAATAATTTAGTTTAATTTAATTATAGCCTCTAAATCAAATCAAATTAAGTTAAAATCTACTTAATTAAATTATAATTAACTATAATTAACTATAGTTAATTATAGTTAATTATAGTTAATTATTTAGTTATATAAGTATATATATATATTTAAAGATTTAAAAGCAAGATAAGACTAAAATAAGTCTTAGGCTAGTTTATATCCGGTATTACTTAAGGCGCTTTTTACTAAATCGGGTATTGCAATATTTAATAAATAAAGCAGTATAAGCTAAAGATACTAAAACCTCCTTGATTTTCTAGTAATTCTTTACTATTTTATAAATATTATTATAATAAATAAATTAGCTAAAAATAGACTCTCTTATAAATAAATGCTTTAAATTTAGAGAATTATATCTAATTAAATACTTATTAAATAATTTTCTAGATTCTAAAGAATTTATATATAAATAAGTAATCTCTCTTAGGTTACTTCTTTCTCTTTTTATTTTATATATAAATATCTTAATAATTATAACTCTAATTAAGAAGCTTTCGATTATAAACTTACTTATTTTTACTTTATATATTCGAAAATATCTTAATAATCTTTAATTAACCTTAATTTTCCTTAAAATAAAGAGAAATAAAAAAGAATAAATAAGAATAAAAAAGATAAAAAAGAGGTTTCTAAGAAATATATCTAGTTTTTTATACCCGATTTAGGCTAGCTTTATACTTATATATATATTCTATAAGTTTTATTTATATCTTATTAATATAGTTATTAGTTATTTAATAATCTTTTAAGTTATTTGAGAAATTCAAGTTTTCTTAGTATTATATAATAATTATAGTTAATTATAATTATAATTAAATTAAATTAAGTCAAAATTTACTAAATCAAATTATAATTAATTATAATTAACTATAATTAACTATAATTAACTATAATTAACTATAATTAACTATAATTAATTATAATTAATTAGCCTTGATTTTTTTTTAATATACTAATTATTATATCTTTTTAGTCTATTTACTCATATAGTAAAGCTATTTCCTATATATATATCTATTAGTTTAAGTAACTCGTAATACTAATAACTTTTCTTTTAGTTTTCTAATTATAAAATACTTTTATAATTTTAAAGTATTAATTAGTAAAAGCGTTTAATTTTATGTTTTTATTTATAACCTTATTTTAGCTCTAGAAACACGTGCATCGTCACGTGATAATTTAATTAAATATACTTAAATATATTTAATTATAATTAAGTATAATTTAATTAAAGACTATATAACTTGATTTGATTTGATTAGTAGGCTCTAATCAAATAAAATAAAATCATTCGATATACTAAATAGTACAGATCGTATGTATTTACATTGCCTGTTTGAGTTTGGACTCACGTTTAGCTAATATTGCCGGGCCCCAGAACTAGAATTCCAAATTTCCCTGCATATTCATATATAGTATATCAAAAAAGTAATCAAGGTATTCCAAATATTCATGAATATTCATAATTAGCTTGAATAAAATATAATTACCGCAACCCTTAAATAATTTGATTAGATTAGAATATATAATTATGAATATTCATTAATACCTTGATTACTCTGCACGTGACTATAGCACGTGAAATTCTAGCCTAATTAAGTAGAGATCCCGCTCTAGTATCTCCTTAGCGCCACCTCGCTGCCTAATTAGTGGGTCGAAAGCCTTCCAAAGACGATGCTAGATCGGGAGCCATACCTAATTAGGTTAGTATATCACGTGAGATAGTCACGTGTATAGTAATCAAAGTATTCATGAATATTCATGATTACCTCAATTAGAATCTGATTAGAATATAATTAGTGGGTATTTTTGATTAATAAATTAGATTACTAGCCAGTATTCTAATCTAATCTATTCATTTGACACACTGTTCTTGTGTCCACAAAATGTTCAGCAAATGGGTCTTGATTCAATACCGTCCATTCAAAAGGCATTGGATGACATTGGCGGAACAGTCTTGGTGGCGAGGACCAATTTTGAGTGCCATGGACTTTTGGCAATCTTATCACCTGTCTGGGCCACCCTTGGTATTATATTTGGCTGCAGTTGGTTTGAGCGCCTTTGGGCTTTGCAAGAAGTTATACTTGCGAGGAACTTGAAAGTTTATTTGGGACCGTATACTCGCTACTAGAATATGCTATCTTCGTTGGTTTTAAGCATATCAAGGGCATATCTGGCGTTTTTTTCATCAGAGGTGAGATTTCCAGGCGCACGGATCGCGTGGATGGCTTCTCTGCGGTAGCTCAGATTAATTTTCTGCGCCTAGAAAAGGCTCACTATAAGTCCATAGCTTGGCCCTAGCAATATATAGTGGATATTAACAGGATCTACGCTATTACTGGTCTTGTTAGCATGGAGCTCCGGAAGCGCATACAAATTAATTACAAGTCAACGATCCAAGCCGCATTTATCAATTTCTTCAAAATTGTACTCGAAATAGGCCCAACCCTCTATTTATCACATTGCCCATGCCGAATTAACGACCTACTCAGCCTACAGTTATGGTGTCCTAATTTATGCCAGCCATCAGCGGCCAATGTTCTGGGTACGTTCGCAGTAGCCTGCGGTTTTCGAGCAGGTTGCCGAATATTTCCAAATACGTCAAGCGGCATCAAGGTTTTATCAATTTCCGACAATATTCAAGTGCAGGGTTTGAGCATTGATGCTGTCGTCTGCACCGTTGCGTCGCATTTTGTTTGGGCACGTTCCGATCGACCACGTATTGTACAATAGACTTTGGAGTGGGAAACTGCGTCCCTTAAGTCTCCCAGCAGCGCTACGAGATGCCGAATAGTGTTACAGAAGAGCATTGGCGTACATTGATTGCGAATAAGCTACACACAATGACGGCTGGCATATCAAATCGAGTCGACGACTCTCACATGATGAAGGAATTCCTATATTTCAGGACAGCGCAGTCAGGTGCAAAGGCAGGGATCGGCGACAACGTTGATATGGCATGTGTTGGTCGTCCATATTTCAGCACGAGGAACAGTCGCGTTAGCATTGGACCAGCAGACATCACAGCAGGAGATCTTGTCTGTGCCTTTTTCTGGGCCAACTCCATGTATCATTCGCCAGTCCCAATAGGCTTGTAAGTATAAGTTCCTCGGCGAAAGTTATATATATGGTCTTATGAATTCGGAGGCTTTAGTAATCATGGACCAAGGACTCGTACAGAGTGGAACCCTTGAGCTCGAGTAGACGATTGTCTACAAAGTATTCGGGGATTAAGATTGACGAATTGTGTAGGTGGTGGGGAAGGAAATCTTTAGAGGAGAGATGAGAAGTAATGAGGAGGTGAGGGAATCCGGCACCTGGCATTGGGATTGTGATCCGTCTACGCAGCTGCCCCTCAGTGGTCGAGAGAGTGTGAATCAAGATTAAGGCTAACTGGCACCTTGGCCAGTTTTGTCCACGAATAAAGATGGCTCGAGTCCGCTAGATGGGTGAAGTTGTGGGCATAAGGAGAGGGACGTCCCTTGATATTGAAAGATAGTCATTTTACCTATTTACAAATATAAAATCTCCGAAATCGTGCAACAAAATCAAAGCCCCGAGGCATATCCTGAATCAGCTAACATTTGAGAACGGGTAAAGCAATCCCTTTGTTACTTCGTCGCTGTTATACGTGGGAAGTTGGGTTTCCCGTATATTCCGAATACGAACGGTTAAACAAACATCGGCGAAGAGACTGAGAGGACGTTATACTTACAGGGATCGGGGGGAATGGTCTGGACAGACTTGACTTGAGAAACTTTTTCCTCTTAATGTATAAGTATAACTATATTTTTCAATGCGATGAATGAAAGGGTAGCCGTGATTTGATCTCCGACGAGGCTATACCTGAAGTGGAGATGTAGAAGGCACAAAGAGACTTGCTCGAGTAAGAGGCAGATCTTGAGATGGCGAAGATAAAATTTCAATACAGAAATGCAAACTGGGAGGCAAGGGCAAAAAATATGCGAAGGGTGGATATGTCTGGATTTCATGCCCATTGATGGGAATTCCGGGGAAAGTACATCTTGCTGGTGGCGACATTTGAGCGTGTTTCAATTGGTCAATATTTCAACATCCACAAGGGAAACACTATCACCTGGTGCTGTATTTGCGGGAGAAGATACTGGTACTTGAACAAATTCCCAATCGCTATCGTGGGTTGAATACAATTGCTTCACCAATTTGCAAAATCAAATCGAATTTTGACGGTCAGTGAGCGTCCACTCACCGACCAGCAGGAATCGAAATCAACGCACGAATAAACCGTCCACTAACGATGCCACTTAACTCTCGAATATCCCACTTAGCAGTCTCCCGTATGGTTCAAGAGCAGGGTTCATGGTTTTAATGTGCGTATCGATCGTAGATTGAGCAGCGGCCACTGGCTTGCGATTCTGCTTGCTAGATAGCTGCACATTGACTTCATTCCACCTTGCAAATCGACTTCCTAATATCCTCAACGACGATCTTATTAGAAATATTTATCGGGTATCGATGTATTTCACGAATATAACACCTACCCGCCTGTACCTCCCCCTTACACCCTGGTGGGTTCGTGAAAGCGATTTGATCACCCGAGCGATTTGGCCAAGTATTTTATATAGTAAATTTGTCTGGGAGGTAACCGAGATCCAAGGTCAACGCACGACCAGAGTCAACGCACGACCAGAGTCAATGCACGGTCATTTTATACTAAAACTCCCGATTTTTGAACTTTAATAAATAAGGAACTAATAACCCAATTTACTTTAAAATTTCTATATTACTAGTATACTATTTTTTTTTAGAGATAGTTATATTATAAAAATTTAATATTTATATAAAAGGCTTCTTTTATATTAAAGTTAAAAACAGAAAATTAGTAATATATAATATTTATATAGTAATTATATAAAAGAAAAGAAAATAATAGATATAATTAATGTTATATTAAGAATATATTATAAAGAATAGTTCTAATTAAACAAATAAAAAAATTACTAATATAATAATATAATTTATTTAAAGTTTTAAGTTTTTAAAAAATATTATTAATAAAGGAAAAATAATATTATTTATTAAAACATTTAATAAAAACATTTAAATATATTACAATTTTAAATAATATAAAAAGAAATATTTACTTTAATAAATAAATAATATATATTTCTTTTTATTAATAATAATTAAATTAAAAGTAAATAGAAGTATTTTTAATTATTTTCTTATAATATTATAATATTATATAAAGTAAAGAATATAAAATAAAAAATAGATTAAATACAAATTATTATATAATAATATTTAAAAGCAAAAAATTATTATTTATATTATTAAATTATATTATAATTATTAGTATAATATAATAGGAGGTTTTCTTTCTTATTTCATAACTACTATTATATATTCTATTTCTTAAATATACTAGTACTAGTTTAAGGAATTATATAAAACTTCTATTTATATATATAATTAGCTTTTTTAATATATTAATTTTTAGAGTTCCTTATTTTTAATTATTTATACTATTTATTTAGCTTTCTATTTTCTTTATCTCTATTTATATATCTAATATTTATATATAGTCCGAAATTTATATAATAATCAAATTCCTATTATAATAGCTATAACTATAATTATAACTATTATATTAAGAATTATATAACCTTATATTATATATATAACTAGACTAGTAAGCTAGTTCTAATTAGGCTTAGCAAATTAGAAAGCAATTATTAATACTATAATACTACTTTTTCTTTTTCTAGAATTAATTTAATTACTAATTATATAACTAGTATTTTATATATATTATATAATAGTATTATATATTATAAGTAAACTAATACTAATTAATTTATATATATAAATTATTACGAAACCGGGCTCTGGGCTTGGAAAGAGGTAGAGTAGTTCTTAATCCGAGGATTCTAAACTAAGGAAAGAAGCTCTAAGTACAGGAGCTTTAGTATTCTAAATACTAGCTATAGCCGCATGTATTATCGCGGTTACGTGACGCTAAATTTACTAGTAAAGCGGTAAAGCGTAATATAAATTAGAAAAAAGAATTAAGCTATACTTGCCTAAGATTTAATTTCTTAAAAATAAAGCTATTATTTTATATTAAAGAAAGAATATAATTATTAATTACTTTATTTATAATTCGTTTTTGTAAAAAGAAAAAACATTATTTCTTATTAATTAATAAGTAATTAGCTATTTAACTATTTAATTATTCTTTAAAACTATTTTCTTTATAGCCTAAAACTATCTTTTTACTAATTATTCTATTTATTTATATAATATTCCAATTTCTGAAATAGTTTATTCTCTAAAATACCTTTAAAGTACTTTAATTTTAACTTTAATATTAATTTTACTTTTAAATTAAACTTCTCGAGGTTTAAGCCTTCTCGAAAATATAATATTTTACTTCTAAATTTTATATTATAATTAAAATATTTACTTTAAATATAATACTCTTATTACTAAGCTTCTTATTATAAATCTTATTATAAACTATTTCTTTTTACTTTAAATTATATATATATATATATATATATATATATATTAGAAAGAATCTAATACTAAAGATATTTATAAAAATAGCTAATATCTTTTAATAAGAATTAAAAGGCCTCTAGTTATAAAAGATTTATTATTTATAGGCAAATATTTTATTTCTTCTAGATATATTTAATTCTATATCTAAATCTCTTATATAAGTATTATAATTTAATTTAAAATTATTGAGATTATAAATAGTTTTATTAATATTATAATTAAAGAAATAAAAAGTATAAATAAAGTAATATAATTAAGAAATTAATATTCTTATAACTATTTTAGAATAAATAACTAAATATTTAAATATTAAGCTATATTAATATATTTTTATAATATTAGTAATAAAATCCTTTAAAATTTATTCAAAAATAACTTTAAAAACTTTAGTTAAATAGCCTTTAATTATTATAGAAAAGAAACTATAATAAGACAAAAACCTATATAAAATATACTAGAATAAAAAATATAACTTATTAGTAAAATAATAAGATTAAAAATATAAATAATAAAGTATAAATAATATATAGTATATAAAAGCTTAATTAATTAAATACTAAAAAGGAATTATTCTCTAAAACTATAGAAAAACTAGTTTTCTTATATAATTTCTATAAGTTATATATAAAAGACCGCGGCCTTTACTATATAACTAAAGCTTTAAAGTTACTAAAATAATATAATTTTTTAAAGAATATATCTTATTATATTATATTCGATTTCTTATTTATTTATACTTATTTTCTAAATATTAAAACTAATAGAAAAATCCTATTTAGAGTCCGAAATAATAAAATAATTAGAATTTTCCTTTATTAGCTAATTTAATTTCTTTTTAATATACTTAAAATAAGATTTATTACTTTTAAATAGTCTTATTTTATATTCCCAAACTTGCTTAAAAGTAATCCGAATTCGCTTAGCTATATTCTTATATTAATTAATATTTGCCTTTAACTATTATTTAATTTCTGCCTTTATTATTAGATATTAAAAAGGCTTATTATAGTAAATTATATTATAAATTATACTAATATATTTTAAATAAATAGCTTCTTTGAATTTCGTATTATCTATAATATTTTTAAATTAACCTTTAATAAAAAAAGAAAGCTTTAAATAAGAGGCTTTAATAACCTTATAAGAGACTTTACTTTTATATATTTTATTCTTAATAGTAACTAGACTTATTAGAATTATAATAAAAGGCCTATTAAGTAGCAAATTATTATTAAGCTATTCTTTAGTTTCTATATTATTCGAGAATTATTACTTATCTATAATTCCAGACTTATAAATTATCTAGCTAAAGGCATTTATTTATCTAGTTAAATAGACTATATTCGAAGTCTTTCCTCTTATTACTTTTAATAAATACTTGCCTATTTCTTTTACTATTTCCGGCTTAAAATTATTATAAATAAAGAAATAATTAATATCTTTAAAGAACTTTTTACTAAAAATAATAGCCTTTTTATAGTTTATAAGAAAAATATAGCTAATATTTTAATACTCTTTACTAAGGTAAAATTCGCTATTTAAAGCTTTAGTAATAGCTAGATCTTTAGTATTATTTTTATATTAATTATAATTAATATTTCTAGAAATAAAAAGAATGTAGTATTTAGCTAGCTAAGAATAAATAATTAGATAAATAAGATACTTATTTAATATCTCGTGAAATCCGAGCTATATTAATAGATCTGCTATTAAAAGTTAAGAAACTAAGATAAAATACCTATT